AGTACCTTTATGTCTATTATCAAGACTTTGTGTACAACAGACAAATTGCAGACTAATTTCAACGATATATCACAAGACATCCTGTTATCAAAAGTGAGTGCAGTATTAGATTACTTCATGTAATAAACAGTCAAATCAGGGAAAGACTATTAGTAGTAATCTATTAGAATTAGAGGTATGTCCGCACAAACTTTGAAAAACTTTTCATTTCATAGTCCACTCGAAGTGTTGCATCACTTTACATAAAACGTGACATTATTTATGAATACGTTTTGTTGAACTTATGTACGATTGTTATGATATCGTGTGTCATATAAATAAGATGTGAATCAAATGCGTGTCTTTAGGCCTTCGCCGCTATAAATGTGATGTAATTTTGGCACAAACTTTGTTATCTGTTTATATAAATATTATACTGTGTTTTCAGTGATTTTACGTTAAAACAATTGTCCCTATTTACGAAAACTTGTTACTCGTCTGTAGGCAATGTCTGTCCGTATATTCGAGGGCACAAAACACGCCAACCTATACGCCCGGTTCAGGCCTACCATTCCCGACGCGGTCATCGATGTTGTGCTGAATTTTTTGCGCCAAAAGATACCGTCGGATAAGTGGGATATTGCTGTGGATGTGGGCTGTGGTAGTGGACAGGGAACTCATAAGTTGGCCAAACATTTCAAGCGGTGCTACGGTTTCGATGTGAGTCCGGCGCAGATTAATGAGGCGAAAGGCGCTCACCATTCAGATAATATTTCCTATGATGTGAGTCAATACAAGCCGATATAACTGAGAAATTAATGATTTTTATTTGTTTGTATTGTTTTTATGTGAAGGTATGTCCGGCCGAGAAGTTGCCATCGATTTCCACAAATAGTGTGCAACTGTTGACCGCCGTAGAGGCCGCCCATTGGTTTGACTTCAATGCCTTCATTCAAGAGTCGACTCGTGTATTGTCGGACAATGGGGTGATCGCACTGATAGGCTATGTGTTCCCCAACCCGACCGACCCGTGCAATCCCAACGACCACTCACTTCTTGAGATGATTACTGATCTGTTTTTCGACGACCGTTTGGCGCCATTCAAGAACCCGAAGTGTGTTTCGCTTGAAAGGCATTACAGAGACATTGAGTTCCCCAAGAATTATGAGTCTAAACTTATGGACAATATCGCGAGCACTAAGCGAGTGTTAGCCGAAGACATAATCGGATACATCGAGTCCTGGTCTATATATCAGGGTCTGGCGAAGGCTGACAGGGAGTCGGCAGAAGTCATATCGCAAGAAGTGAGACATAAAGTAAAATCCATTTTAAAAATTAATGATTTGTCAGCAAAGGAAGTGATCTTTAATTTTGATCATTTCATAGCAATTGCACGCAAAGTGAGTAATAATTGATAATATTAAATGAATAGTCTGGCTAAGTCTATGATTTTATGTGGATGTTTGCCATAATTATTGATTTGATTAGTGTGTGAATTGATTTT